ATAGCAGGATCAACGGGAAGACTTACTGAGCTTGCCGTTTTTCATCGTCACGAGCCAAATTCGCCACATAACCCACGAGGTACGCCTGGAGCTCTTCAAACGTGCCGACTGTTTGATTGAAGGTTCTGTGTGGGGGTGAAACAAATGAGCCGGCTCAGTGAATTGCTAGAAACCAATTGTATAACATTGTCCTAAACAGTCTGGGTTCAAAAATATATTCAAAGGTCTGAAAGTTGAGTTGAAGACATGAAGCTGACTTATACCGAGTCAAAGCCTTGGTCATTCCTGTCTACTCCAACAGCAGCGGCTCACCAGGGTCTCAGGTTCAGATCTTCCATATCACCGACTACTGGATCCCTTTTTGAGAGCCAGTATGGTATAGTCCAGAGGTCACAAACCTTTTGGAGCCTGTGGACGCCTTTGGAATTCTGACACAGCATGGCGGGCGCAGCTACAAAATGGCTGCCGCAACTTCCCTTCAGCGACACAGTGAAGATTCTTGTACTATGGTACCAGCTGCTGCCGAAGCAACGTTTTTAAAAATCTGCCCAGCCAATCAAATCTCCAATGGCCAATCAGAAAACTTCCTGGGCAAAACCCCCACATGGCCCCGCCCCCTTTCTAAAAATAACTGGCAGGTGCCAGGAAATGTGTCCCATAGCACCCACAGGCAGTATTGTGGCAGAGTGGTTAGAGCATCAGACTAGGATCTCAGAGACTCCAGTTCGAATCCCACTTTGTCATAGAAACTCACTGGGTGATCTTGGGCTGGTCATTCCCTCTCAGTCTAACATACTTAATACCCTTGTTGTAAGGATAAAACAGAGGTCCCTCTAAGCTGTGGAGTCTTGCGAGCAAAAATTCTGCTTTGTGAGCGACTGGCATTAAAGTTGTGAGCGAGCGATTTGGCTACTGTACAAATTAGTTTGCTCTGGAGCCTTCCTTCCTTTGCTAAGACAAAAATGTGTGAGCCGGAGGCTAAAAAACTGTGAGCCAGCTCACAGTAACTCAGCTTGGAGGGAACACTGGAGAGGAGAATGGCGTAAGCCACTTAAAACTTAAGGTCCTCACTAGGAGAAAGTGGGATATAAAAATAAATAAATAAATAAAATGGATGACTGGATACCCTGAGGACTGAACCTGGAGCCTTCTGTGAGCAAAGCAGAAACTCCTCCACTGACTTATGGCTCTACATCCTAAGCTTTAAAGTTAAGTCAGCAGAGTTATTTTTAAGAAAGGGGAATAGGGTTAGCACAAAGCCCGTTATGCTGCGGCAAAATAATTACACTTTCATGTCCTTGTTGTATTGAACTTCCAAAAAATAATTAGCCACCACCAAGCTGCTTCGGAGGCGTCTTCTTTCATGTTCCTCCCCTTAATTGAGCAATTTCAGCAAGTTTTACGACCCTGGTGTTTTCCAACATTTCCCCATAACTGTTCTAAGCATAGAGGCCTCTGAAAGATGCCATATGGAGACAATGGGTTGGATCAAAAAAAAAGTAAACTGCATTCGGAGCAGAGCTCGAGGAAGTACATTTAATTTCCTCCCACCCCTTTCCACTGCAATACTCTCGCTCACCCCAAGATACTCTTGGGGGTCTGGGAACCCTCAGGAACAACTGGGGATGCAGCTGTGGTGTGCAAGTTGCCGTAAATAGGGGGGAATTGGCAGAAATTGCTCCTTTGTGCGAGCGGCAGTGCCCTCCGATCACAGAAGGGGGGAATTTCGATTTAGCACAGTTATAATTGTTGACACTGTTCACATGTACCCTCCCCATACTGTTAACATGTATACTCCGGGTATCCCAAAGCATATTTATATGCACTCTTTGGGTACCCCAAAAGCATATTTATATAGCTAAAAGGGATAACACAGTCACCAATGTAAGCATATACACTGGTTATCCCTCCCAATATGCTCTTTTCGGCAGCTTTGCTCTGGACCATCTGTTTTTTTTGTGTGGCTGCAGGCTACGAGGAATGTTCTTCCAGAACATAAAAAGTTATGTCCTCGCTCATTTCGAACGGGGACCTTGGTCTGCTCAACACCATTTCTCTCGCTGTTTTCGCACAGAGTAAAAACAGCTTTGGGCTATCCAAAAATAAGACGTTGCCTGGTGTTAACGAGGTCTATTTTCTTTAACTACATGGGAAGAAAAGAGCAAGAGTCCAGTAGCACCAAAATTTGTGGTAGGGTAGGATAGCAGTGACTCACGACTGCTCTGACCCTGCCACAAATTTTGTTATAAGGTGCTACTGAACTCTTTCTCTTTTCTACTGCTACAGACAGACTAACATAGCTACCTGACTTGAAGAGATTGTCATTTTTTCACAAAAATCACAGCCAAGTTTTGTTGGCAGGCCACCTAGTTAATATCCCCCCTCTGGGTGTGGCTGGCATGCAAGTGCCACTCTGTGACCTTGCCCCAAAGAAATCTCGACTGCATAAAAAGTACTGGCAACAAGATGCTTCCTTTAGTTACTTAGAATGTAATTTCTCGAGGCTCCCAACTTAAGGCCAAGCTATCCACAGTAGTGGAGTTCTGCCACTGCAACAGTCTAGGCATATAATTTGGGCCTAAAAAGTACTGGGGAAGGAGGAAAGGAATCTGGATCTGGCCTGCAACATTGGTCTTAATCCCCCTTCCCACACACACCATTTTCCAGACTGAAACTGCCCATCTATGGAAAAGGGATAAATAATGGTTTATGGTTCCGTGCTAGGTGAATGCCGGTGTGCATTCGCATGGCAAATGCCCCATTTTATGCATGGCAGAGGGTGAAGAGATATATACATACATACATACTTTAAATATACTTGACTGAATAAATATTACTTTTGTTCAATCATGACTGGAAGTCTAGATTACATAACAAAACAATGCAGCACACAATACAGCGGGTATTTCAGCACACAGTTGTTTTGGAAGTCTAGATTGCCAAAGTTGTCTTGTAGTAGTAAATGAGAGTACAGCTTAAGCCTGAGGACTGTGGGAAACTCACGATTCACGCAAAGAAAAATAAAGGCTAGGATAACGGAGAAAGATAAATGTATATGAAGCATTGGGGGGGGGAGGCACCCAAAACACAGCTGTGTTACTCACTCTCTGTCTATAACAAGGCACTCCACGTCATTTTCATCTGCAATTATGTTCGCAGACCTGACATCATCGCTGGAAACAGAAACAGATTAGGAGCGTCTTAAGAGATATCAAGCTGTCTTTCAAAGTATTGCACTAGCAAAACGGCTCAGGCATAGATATGAATATTAAACAGCAATATATCAGATGTCTACTTGCATGCAACTGATTTCCTGCCTGTAAAAAGCTACAGAATTAATCGCGAGGGATGCAACCCAGAAAAATACAGAGATGCTTTAAAAAAAAACAAAACCTACTGTGAAACCAATGGGAGTTAGAGAACTAGTCAGCACCCAAGTCTCAGTGGGACTTAGGCCTACTCTGAATAGGACCCAAAGGAGTCAAGAAGCGGCTGGAAGAAAGGAATGTGTTAACTATGCAACCACTTGAGTTTAAATGCTGGTATGGAAGAGTCATGGGCAACTGTTTTTCTTTGGGCTACTATGGTGTAACAGTCAGAGTGCCAGACTGGGATCTTGGGAGTCCCGGGTTCAAATCCACTCTCTGCCATGGAATCTTGTTGGGTGACCTTGGGCCAGTTGCGACACACCCAGCCTCACCGATCACAGGGCTACTGTGAAGAGGGAGGAGAAGAGAACAATGTAGGGCACTTTGGTTCCCCCTGTGGGGAGGAAGGCAGGGTACCAGTGAAATAAATAAATAAATAGATAATATCGTCATCTCAATGCTGCTTTGCCGGCTGCCCTCCTCTTTTCCTGATTTCTCTGCCCAAGAAGTATGATTAAATCTGGAAGAATTAAAGATGGATTCAGATCTTGGCTACACAATCAGCAGAAACCAAACCGTAGCGCTTCCCCTGGACCGCACCATTCAGATGGTAGCGAGGGGGACGGGGGAGCTGCATGCTTGACTGTTGGCATGTAGAAAATCAGTCTATCAGGGAGAAAAATAGGCCAAACACTGATGCCAGATTGTTTAACAGTCAGAGTGCCAGACTGGGATCTTGGGAGTCCCAGGTTCAAATCCCCTCTCTGCCATGGAATCTTGTTGGGTGACTTTGGGACAGTTGCAACACTCCCAGCCTCACCGATCACAGGGCTATTGTGAAGAGGGAGGAGAAGAGGACAATGTAGGGCACTTTGCTTCCCCCTGTGGGGAGGAAGGCAGGGTACTGGTGAAATAAATAAATAGATAATATCGTCATCTCAGTGCTGCTTTGCCGGCTACCCTTCTCTTATCCTGATTTCTCTGCCCAAGAAGTATGATTAAATCTGGAAGAATTAAAGATGGATTCAGATCTTGGCTACACAATCAGCAGAAACCAAACCGTAGCGCTTCTCCCCTGGACCGCACCATTCAGATGGTAGCGAGGGGGACGGGGGAGCTGCATGCTTGACTGTTGGCATGTAGAAAATCAGTCTATCAGGGAGAAAAATAGGCCAAACACTGATGCCAGATTGTTTTCCCCAGAGCCAGTTTGGCGTAGTGGTTAGGAGTGCAGACTCTAATCTGGGAGAACCAGGTTTGATCCCCCCACTCCTTCGCATGCAGCTGCTGGTGTGACCTTAGGTCAGTCACAGTTCTCTCAGAGCTGTTCTCTTAAGAGCAGTCTCGAAAGAGCTCTCTCAGCCTCACCTACCTCACAGGTTGTCTGTTGTAGGGAGGGGAAGGGAAATGAGATTGTAAGGCAAGCCATGGCAAACCATCTCTGCTCATCTCTTGCCTTGAAAACCCCACTGGGGTTGCCATAAGTACAGTTGTGGCTTGATGGCGTTTCCCACCACCAGGTTCCACCAAATGCCTCAGACATACTGAAGAACCTTCAAATAATCCACTGTCATGCCATCAAGATCCCCTTATGGTGAGATTATCGAACAGGCACCATGTCAAAAGAGTAACCCGAATTCAGCCGAGTTCCCTCCAGCACTTGTCCTCTGTGTGCCAAAGAGTAATGCACCCTGTCGCTATGTTTCTGCAAGCCGGTTCGAACTGCCTATTGACCACCCTACTCATCTAAACAATGGCTCCAGCAAACAGTCTACTCACGTGAGCGATGTACTGTCAGAGAAGCAGAAGTGCCAGCAGCCACTTCCACAATTAGGGATTTCTACATCCCTGCTGTGAAAGCTGCCACTTGGACTCCCGGGATGATGCTCAGTTGCCAATACACTGCTGACGGCAGCGTCTGTGCAAACGGGCTGAATTGGCCCTTGGCTTCACAAAAGTGCAAGTGTGAAGAGCAATGAGCGTTCTTCCTCTTATCCAGCCCATGTTGCTTCTCTCCACTTTAAAAATAATTTTTGTCGTATCGCTTTAATGGATCTGCTCCAGACGACACAACTGTCTTTGGCTGAGCATCCAGTGAACACATCAATCAATCAATCAATCAATGCAGCTGCAAGAGAACTGTGCTTCCTTGTGAGCTAATCAGAGGTGGCAGCTGTGACCAAGCATACATGCATATGTAGGGGGGAAAAACCCCACAAGCCACTGGATACGATAAGGCTGAATTTTATACCGTGTCTTTATAAAGTTAATGAAGATTTTATAACATCAGAACTGGGAGGATAAACATCGCCGTGTCAGCTAAATATGCAATTAAGCACAGGAAGGAAAGGCGACTGTCGAGTGGAGCTCCCAATCCTATCAACGTTTCCGCTTTCTGCTTGGGATGAGAAATCTAAACACAACTCAGGACAGTGTCAAAAATCAGCCACACTTGCCCTGAGATATTTCTGTTCCCACAAAGAACAAGTTGTGGTGGCCTCGGGAGAGATGGAAACCTTGTCATATTGAGTATCTGGCATTTCCTTTATGCGCTACATTTGTATATTTAGATTTGTTATCTTACGTTTGGCATGTGAATTTTGTAATTTATCGAGCTGAATAAAGATATATTAAAAAAAAAACAACCCACAATCAGCCACACTTTATTATGGCCCTTCAAGCTAACTCCCTTTAGGTGGTAATTAAATGCTCCATTTGTCTGATTGGGGGTGGCCTTTTCTTTCAGCACACGTTGTCCTTCCCATCAGATCAGCACAGAAACTGAATATACAGACGCTGATTTACAATAAGTTAACTGCTCTGTGAACTCATCTTGAACTATGTTTGGTTAACCTAGTTCCACCAAATCTTCCATAACTGGGTTGATCCTCGTGGAATTGGGTAGCTGTTGAAAGATCCAAAAGGCCGGGCCAAAAAGAAGAGATTTCACCCTATGCCAACTGAAAAACTCAAAGTGAATGGAGCAATCTCTCGGAGGCAAACGTAGTGCGAACGCCTTATCTCGGCTATATTTGTATTATGCCAGAAAAGGTTATGAGACTGTGAAAACTGTGTTGTGATAACAAGCCAAGTTACAAAAACTCCGTAAGCAAATGCAAATGTCTATGTGAATCATAACCGATTTTGAACTAACCTGATCAGGGCCTTTTCCCCAAAGTAATCTCCCTTCTGCAGTATTTTGATCAGGTGGGCCTGTGTGCATCCTTCGGCGGTCTGGGTGACTTTAACCTGGAAATAGAGGGTTGCAGATTACATGGTCACTTGACACATGGGCAGCAACGTTCCCTCTAAGCTGTCGAGTCTCGTGAGCAAAAATTCTACTTTGTGAGCTACTGGCATTAAAGTTGTGAGTGAGCAATTTGGCTACTGCATATATTAGTCTGCTCTGGAGCCATCCCTTCCTGAGCTAAGACAAAAATGTGTGAGCCAGAGGCTAAAAAACTGTGAGCTAGCTCACACTAACTCAGCTTAGAGGGAACAGTGATGGGCAGGTGCAATGAAACTCAGTTGCTTCCCCGAGTCCATCGTCACAGACTGAAGTTTACCCTTGCAAAATAAAATCAGTGGCACCATAATGTCTAACAAAAATGTGTCCTCGCGTAAGCCTCGATGAGTCAGAGCTCACTTCGCTAGAAGCGTGTTCAACCATCAGGCAGATGTATTTATACTCAGAGCTGCAGACAACAGAAAGACGGGGAAGGAAGAGATGTCACAAAGAGGTACCAGTTCAAAACACTGTTTGTGTGTGTTTGTGCAAAGTGCTGTCAAGTCACGGGTGACTTATGGTGACCCCAGTGAGGGTCTTTCAGGGAAAGTGAGAAGCAGAGGGGGTTTGCCATTGCCTTCCTCTGCGGGGTCATCCTTGGAAGTCTCCCTTCCAAGTACCGACCCTGCTTAGCAGCCAATAACTGATGAGCTCTTTTTGTAGAAAAAACCCCAGCAGGAACTCATTAGCATAATAGGCCACACCCAACAGCATAAACTCATTAGCATATTAGGCCACACCCCTGAAAGCACAGCTCATTAGCAGATTAGGCCGCACCCCCATGTTACCAGAAGTGTGCTCATCCAGCCACACCCACCTTTTGCTTCTTATTCTGTTTACCTTGTTTGTGGTCAAAACCCAGGGCCTTTTTTTGTAGCAGGAACTCCTTTGCATGTTAGGCCACACACCCCTAACGTAGCCAGTCCTAATGAGTTTCTGCTGTTGGGCGTGGCCTATTATGCTAATG